ATTGAATCCCAATTACATGCTCATATCTAGGTTGAAGCCTTGTGTACTTCTATATACTTAATAAGCTGGCTACCATCCTCTATTATTTCCAATCACTCTTCATTCCAGAGTCTCTAAAATCAACCACCTAAATATGCTCACAATGTTGTTTTTTATTATAAATGCTATCCTTGGCTTCAATCTTATGCATCTCATAAACTTGCTCCTTATTGCCAATTATGTATATTCTTTGGTTATGCTCAGACCCAAAAGTGTTATAGATTCTACAAACAAACAACATGTTACTTTTTCATTTCATGTCATGTTCACTCTAATGAAACTTCTATTATTCTCTCATCTCACTCATCCTATATGACTTCTACACCCTTGCCAATTGTTATGCCACATACTCCACTTCCTCATTCCAGTTTCACACCCCTAATGCATTCCACTTCTTCAAATCCCTGCAATAATACCACTCACTCTTGTTGACCTCGATTTTGTCAAACCATGGGCATGAGGGACTAGGTTGACCAGGTCAACTGTTGACTTGGTCAACCCAAGGCTTATTGGGTCAATTTTGACCCATTAAGGCCTTTTGAGCAAAGGCGCAACTCCAATGGTTAACAACTCTATTGTAAATACATCTTCCACACATTCAATGTCCACTTCCTCATTCAAATCCTAGTCTCCTTCAACTCATTCTCCTATATTTACCTTTACTTCTCCACCACAACCTCCCATGCATCCTATGCTCACTTAGTTTTAGGTCATCTCAAACCACATCAAATTCTTGATCTTAATCATACTCTTTCTTCTACTCCTACGTATTACAGTGCAACCATAAAATTCATTGAGTTGTGTAAAGCATTATCTACTAAATTTCATGTCCTTTAATCTCCTGGTGCTTGGACCTTGGTCCCTTCCCACCCAACTCAAAATATTATTATCTGCAAATGGATCTTTAAGATCAAACATCACTTTAACTGCTGCATTGCTTGCTAACAAGGCTATGTAGTTCCTCAAGGCTTCAAGCAAGAGTATGACATCAATTACCTCCAAACTTTCAGCCCTATAACCAAATCACCTAGCATATGCATGTTTCTTATTGATGCTCACTATTTCAATTAGCAAATCCTTCAGCTTGATGTTGTCAATGCTTTTCTATATTTCCCTTTACATTACACTATTCATATCACTCAACCTCCAATTTTTCAAGATCCTCAACGACCACATCATGCTTGCCTATTAAAAAAAGCTCTTTATGGTCTTAAGCAAGCTCCACAACAATGGTTTCAATAGTAGCTCGGCCGATGCTTCCAGTTTCATTTTCCACAACCATAATATTCAAATATATATTCTCATATATGTAGATAACATCTTCATTATTGGCAATAATTCCCAATCTATCTCCACACTAATTAACAAGCTTCATACCAAATTTAATATGCAAAATATGGGTCATCTTACATGTTTCCTTGGTGTTGATGTTCACTTATCTCTTGTTGGATATCATTTATCTCAACACACCTACATTAAAGATTTGCTCAACACAATCAGCAAGCTTCAATGCAAACCACTTTTCAATTATCTTCCTTCCAAATTACTGACATATCCTACTCTATAACATCCCTTTATCAAACTTGCACTTTTTTAGCAACTTGTTGGATCTCCATAGTACCTTATTGCCATATGGCCATATATTGTTTTTGTTGTAAACATAATCTGCCAGCATATGCATCAACCCTTATATTGCCATTTTCAAATGTTCAAATGCATACTCTGCTATCTTCAAGGTACTTTAACTTATGGACTTCTCATTCAAAGGGATATATATTCAACTTTATGCATTCTCTGATGTTGTTTTGTGAACGCCTTGATCACAAGTCTACTACTTATTTTTGTGTGTTTCTCAGTCCGACATTACTTTCTTGGAGTGTAAAAAAATAAATTAATGTTGCATAATCATCTATTGAAGATTAATACCGCTCTCTAGCTGTTGCAACTAACTAAATACTATTGCTCTGTTGCCTATGTCAAGATTTACCCATTTCTCTAGGTTCTACACCACTATTTTATGATAACATCTCTGCTATGTCCACTACTACTAACCCAATGTTACATGCTTGGACTAAACACGTCGAGATAGATCATCATTTCATCAAAAAAGTACTAACTCCAATACGATTATTATTCATCACATTTCGTTTAAGGACCAAGTGACTGACATTCTTACCAAAGCTCTACCAACACCTTGGTTCCAATTTCTTCATGACAAGTTGCTAGTTTGTGCACCCATCAACTTGAGGGGCAGTGATAACAATGTTACTTACAATAGCTCACCACCTCACCACTCACTTTCATAATATTTCTACTATACTTTTAGTCACTACCATATGTAGAAATTTCTCCAGTACTGTTGATTAAATCTCAACCCTTGATGCCTAATGGACTGAAGATAATATAGGAATCGTACTGTAGTAAACTTTATATAAATATGCATTCTAATGCTCTGTATTATTTTACTACTTTGCTTGTATGCATACAATTGTTGTTGTGTTTAACATTTGCAATAATAATTGGAGAGGATCCAAATCCCTCCAAATCTATCCTCTTGTTAATGGCATTTATGGAAGTGACCTCCAAGTAAAAAAAAATTGGGGGATTTGCGCACCTCAAAATTTTTGTTGGGTCTCAGGCCCTGGATAAAAAAGTAGAGTGTTGCATTAGGTAATTGAATGTCAGCATAAAGCTTGTTAAATAATTAAGACATGAATCCTTCAATATATTATGTTAATGCTATGAACCTTTGAAGCAGTGTGTTGTATAGCTTAAATATAACAAAAAGTGTGCAAGGGCCGCTGCACCAACGCCCTAGTGTAGTTTTAAACAATGAGCTCCCACATCATGGATGGATGAGAGCAAAAAAGCTAATCCATGAAATTAGAATTAGAAAAGGAACTTGAAATATATGTTTTTATACAAACAAATGAATGAAATTAATAGATATTATTCATAAAATGATAAATATTCTATATATTTAGGAAACAAAATAAGTTTAAAAAGAGATTGATAGTTAATAATTTAAAATATAAAATTCAGGTAGAAGACATGCTAAAAAAGGATGTAGGTGTGATTATAAAAAAAAGTTTCATGAATAATATTATAGAAATTAATAAAATTAGAGATAGAATTATAACTTTAAATATTGTTGTTAATACTAATATTATTAATATTATAAGTATTGATTCACCAGAAGTAGGTTTAGAGATGTGTTCAAAATTAAAATATTGAAATGAGTTAGCATAATTAATAAAAAAATAGATCTTTTGAAGAAAGAGTTTTTTTTGGAGGATATTTAAATAGACATGGTGATACAACAATAGAAGATTTTAAAGATATTCATTGTGGCTTAGAGAGACTAATGAAGGTGGTAAGATCATTTTAGATTTTGCTCAAGCTTATGATTTTATAATTGCTACTTTATTTTAAAAAAAAAAAAGACCATCTAGTTACTTATAAGAATGAATATAATAAAACTTAAATTCATTATTTTCTTATAAGAAAAATAGATCGTGTAGATTGTAAAAATTCTAAATTCATTTCAAGTGTAAAGTTTATGTACCCACCATCTCTTTTAGACTTTAAAATAAAGGGATGGAGTATGAAAAATAAAATAAAATATCCTAGGATTAGATGAACTCATTTAAAATTTTTATAGCTAAAATAGATTCATAACATCATAAAGCCATACATATAAAAAAACTTCAATGAATGATGAGCGATAATTCATAATTTTTGTGACTTAAACTCATGGCCCATGTTTTTAAAAATAAAAAAAAAAAAAAAAATACTAAGCGAAATCATAATAGTGATATGAAAGCAAAATAGTTAAAAAGATTGCTTCGAATAAGCCATCAGTGAGCTTCTTTAGAAGATGCTCAATATGACAAAAAAACAACTAAATTTTTAGCTGATTAATGAAATGGTTTATTTTATCGTTAAATTTGTAGGCATAATGACTGAGTTAACAAATAAAAAATGACTTCAAGCTAATTTTAAGCTACTTCGTCTGAATTAGGGCTACTATTTTGGTCACTGTAGCTAAACCCTTCATACTCTAAAAAAAATTTAGAATTCGTTTGGAATGATTTTCTTACTGCTTATTAAAGTAATTTTTTAATACAAAAAATTTTAATTTTTTAATAAAAAGCATTAAAAAACAATAAAAAAGGCTATTCCAAATGAAACCTTAATTTTTATTTGAAATAGTTTTAAAAAATTTTGCATTAAAAAACTGATGTTAAAAATAATAACAAAATTGTTCCAAAAAAAGTCTTAGAAAAGCAGACTTAAGCTTTATTTGAGACGGCTTTCTTACTTCTTCTTAATGCAGCATTCTATTAAAATTTTTGTACTATAAAACTGTTTTAAAAAACAATAAGAAATCCGTCCTAAACAAAATATTAGTTTCTAAAGATATATGCCAGACAAGAAAATTAAAATAGAGCCTTATATATCAAAAATTAAATATTTTCAATTCAAAAATACCCAGCAGATTTTGCACTGGAGGGCTAGAACGGAGCTTTTACTCAACCTCCAAACATATTGAACAGCTGCTTATCATACAGCATCTGAGACCACTTCAATTTAGCAGTCAATACAAGGAAAATGAAAATACATTATTAACCGCTGTAATCCTAATTTCGCTTATTAAACATTTTGAGCTGTTTTTGCACCAAAGAGATGCTATAATTGTTCTTCATCCAACGGTATTAATTTGTTACACTTCAATGAACTGAAAAGTGAACCCTATACAAAAGAAGAAGAAGAAACTAGATTACAACTTCGGATTCATTTGAGACGACTTTCTTACAGCTTCTTAAAACTGTTTTTTAGTACAACTAGAAAGAAGCTTTAAGAAGCGGGAGAAAGCCGTCCCAAACGAAGTCTGGGACGGCTTTTTTACTGCTTCTTAAAGCAATTTTCTAGCATAAAAATTTTAGTTTTTTACTAAAAAACTGTTTTAGGAAGCAGTAAGAAAGCCGTCCCAAACGAAGCTTTAATTACTCCACCTTTCTCCAAAATTAGTCTAAGCAGTCTGACCTTCTGCCAGTTGCAATTCTAGCTGCTATCAACCCTTGTCAGAAGCAGAGACCTTAAAATGTCCTCTCTCCACTTCCAAAGAGGAATAGAGGATCATATAAAAAAATCTAGACCAAATTTGGAGAGCATTTATGATTATGGATTACCACTCCATCTGCTTTGCCACAAAATAAAATAAGCAGAGATGAGTTCTAACCCTGTTCTGAGAGAAAGAAATATCTCTCAGCTATGGCTGCATGAACTGCAGCTCCAACTGGTAATACATCTTCATCGATCATAAAGTATGGCGAATGACCCGTATGAATTGAACCCAAGGACTCGTTCCTCACGCCTATGTAATAGAAGGCCGCAGGTACAATCTCTGAGTAGAAGGAGAAGTCTTCGGCACCCATCATCGGAGGAACATCTTTATAGTTCTTGGTACCCAACAGGCTAACGGCTACATTCTTCACATGCTTGTACATTATATCGTCATTGACAGTGGGAGGGTAGAATCGTTCGTTCTCAAAGAAGTCTACTGAAGCAGAGCATTTATATACACTAGACTGCATTACAATGACCTACAAGTCAAAGTTAGATGATAGTAAGCTAGTGGCTATAAGAAACTAAGATTTCGCTTGGGACGGCTTTCTTACTGCTTCTGAAAGCAGCTTTTTTGTACAAAAATTTAAATTTTTATACTAGAAAACTGCTTTAAAAAGCAGTAAGAAAGTCGTCCCAAATGAAACCTAAGTCAGGTTGTCAATAGTTTTACCTGCATAGAAAATGAAGAGCTTTAAAAATATCTCGATTCCTACCTCCTCTATTCTTTGCCTGAGCTTATGAAAGCTAGCATTTGAGAAAGCTCTAAAAGTTCCGCCGAGGATGGCAGACTCTGGGACCAGGTCCAGATTGCTGCCTCCATTCACTGCTGCTACTGAGACAACCTGACAAGGAAATGAAAATAATGCTTAACGTTACTTAACAAGAAATTCTATTGTTTTAGTGAACTAGGTAAGGTTATTTCGTGCATACAAAAATACTAGGTAAGGTTATTTCGTGCATACAAAAATACAGGCTTCTACTTGTAGAAGTATTAATCTCTTTTAACTTCCCATATGGCACTCAACAAAAATGTTTGGAGAAGCAGGATTCATGAAGCCATTATAAAGCTAATGACGGTGATAAAGCCTTATCTTTTTATTTCAAGATATTGGTAGTTATAGTTTGTAAAGACGATCATAATACTCTTCAAGTTGATGGTAAATCACCAACTGACCTGTGAATCTAAAGGATTAGATTCCCGGGACACAATGTTCTGTAAGCTAATTACTGCAGCAGAGGCAGCTAAAATGGGATCTACTGAATGTCGTGGATTGTCTGCAGGACCTTGTCTTCCCTTTATCACTGCTTTGAAGAAGCCACAACCAGCAAGTAAAGGACCAGCTTTTGATCCGATGACTGAAGTTGGGTGTTCATGTGATACATGAACAGCAAATATAGCCTCAACGCCCCTGAGTGCACCATCTTCAATCATTCTCTTTGCACCTATTCCAGCTTCCTCTGCTGGCTGAAAGAGTAACTTAACAGTACCCTGAAACAAAAATAATGTTGAAAAAAATGCTGAAATGTGTAGATAACAGTGCTAAAATGCTAAATGTAATATGTGTTTGAGCTAACTATTATCATAAAGATAAAATCATAAAAGCAATGTAGCGCACATACGTTTTAGAAGTATGCAAATTGTATGTCGATTACCCTTCTTCAATCATCTTAGACTTTCTTTGGGACAGCTTTCTTCTTAATGCAGCTTTCTAGTACAAAAATTTAAAATTTTAACTAAAAAATTACTTTAAAAAGTCGTGAGAAAGCTGTCCCAAATGAAGCCTTAATGAGATGATGAAACTTCAATTTATTTTTAAGCTAGATTAAACTATTTGCGATAGCTCATAGTACTATTAACACCTCATGAAATTTAAAAACAATATGGGAGGTTGTAAGCAGGCCAAGATACTTGAATGAAATAACAGCTAGGAGAAATGATGAGAACTTTTGTTAATGACATGAACATAGCCATAAATAGCGCCACAACCATTCTAAATAATTATGGTATAACCACATTGGCAAAAGCTTAAGAAATGGGTACGCTGTTTATGGCATGTACACATTTTACCTTCGCGGAATATGTGTTTGTACTTACAAAAAACTTTCAAAATTGAAATAAATCACCGTTCTATAACTCCAGAAATATTAAGTAGTATTCTTGACATAACAATTTATGGGAGGATTTATCAGAGCATCTACAACAGATTTGGGTTTCATATTTAAAGAATTAGAGGTATCATCATAGCATCTACTGCAGAATTGAGTTCGCATTTGAAGAATTAGAGGTATCACTTACAGCTCAAAGTGATTAAACCAGAAATATTAAGTGTAATATCTTTATCATTCAAATTTATAAGAGGATTCAACAGAACATCCACTGCAGAATTGAGTTTCATATTCAATGAATTAGAAGTATCATGCACAGCCCTAATTAATTAAACTAATCCAAAATTGAATTCTAAAATGGAAAGACCGTGATAAGGTAATGCAAAACAGCTTACAATAATATATGATAGTAAACATAAGAAAGAAAAAAGTTTAAGAAGATTTAAAGAGCAAGCTAAAACGAATAAAAAAAAGCTCCTAGGCTAACAATGGCATCCAATCAACTTGAAAAAGAAATAAATTATAGCAATGGTTATCTTAGATCATCATGTTTATCCCAACTAACTGAGATTGATTTGCTAGATCTTTTCGGCCATTCAATCAAGGAAAGGAAAAAGGTAAATACCATTCATGCTTATAACACATTTAAGAAAATAAAACTACCTTTAGATGATGTTCACGAGCCTTCAAAATCTTGGCAGCACCAACAAGCATTGCCACATGTGCATCATGCCCACAAGCATGCATTTTACCGGGGATCTTGCTCTTGTGCTTCCATTCTACAGCTTCCTGAGAAGGCATTGAAGCATAGGAGAAAAGATCAAAACTATAACGCATCTATGTAGATATTTTACTGTAGGATAAAAAGAAAAATTCAAATAACCTAAATTAATCCAAAAGCATGAACACATCACAAAACATAACTGCTGCTATTTAAAGGTGGGAAATGGAAAAGATTCCCGTACACTAGATTGCTATCCACCTGATAGGATTTGATGGCCAAAACAACATACAACAATATTAAAAACAACAAACTTACTTCAAATGGATCTAGAAATAGCACCAAGGGGGTAGTAATTACTAATCTACAAGCAAAGAAATACAAGATGCAAGTTGATTCACTGTTCGAGAGGTGAATCATCTCTCACACAATTCCTAGCAGCCACTAGGAACCCAAAAACTCCCACAAAAATTGATGCAACAAATAAAATTCACACAAAAAAACCTAACCCCCGACAATCTCCCCCCTTACATAGCCCAAAATCTTCTAATAAACGCCCCCTTACATCTTTCCCAAAGAGTTCTCCCCAAAGCCTCTTCTCCTATAGGTGATAAAGGAGGTTATGGGCCCCTCTTGGGCACTTGGGCTGCTTCCCACCTTGGCAGCTGTGCTGCTAGCTACTACAACACCACCCCAACCCCACCTACTCCCCATTCCTTCAATGAAATAAAATGTATGCTTCATTTAATAAATGAAAAATTCCCCATTCCATAGCCTTACAGTTATGTGCCCAAGTTAAAGAAATTAAGCATAACAAAATGTTATCAATTATATTAGTTTTGTGTGGAATCTGATTATATTGATCAAACGGGTTGATGCCTTGGACCTCAATTCCAACGATCAAGCTCGTCGGGGGGTTGCAGGGGGTGCTCCCCCATGTTGGACCAAAATTTTTTTGTTGTACTATCCAATAGCACTATGGCGCTATATACCCAAGCGCAATGGTGCTTCAAACCCCGACACTGTGATGCTGTCAAGGAGCGTTGCGGCTCTCCAAACCCCGGCACTACAGCGCTGTCAGACAAACTAGAGACAGAGAGTGGAGCACTACGGCGCTCCAAAGTTAGCACTGCGGCGTTGTGAGATGGACTGGCAGTTTTCTTTATCGTTTTTCATTAAGGGTTGGATCCATTAGTGGTTTATAAGAAGTTTTCTCTTTGTTTGTTCGTGGAGAACGGTACAAGAGAAAAGAGAGACAAGAAGAGAGAGAGAAGATAGATATATACTATTTCTCCCAAATTTTCATAGTAAATTTATTGGATGGTGACGAGAGACAAGGAGAGTAGAGAGAAGAAAGATCTATACCATTTCTCCCAATTTTTCATAGTGAGTGGTTTTTTCTCGGTTTCGGATTTTTTTGCGTTAAATACTAATATTCTTTATTTCCATTGTAAATTTTTATTTCTTACTTGTTTCAGTCCATGGTGTACTTCCCCAACAAGTTATTCATTAGTTGAGTCTTTCCTCATGAGCCAATCAACTCATGATAAATGATTCATTTTTTTTTCTTTGGATTTCATATGGTATTCATTAAAACTTTACTCAGACTTTTACTTGATCATGTCGCTAGAAGTTTTGCCTGTATCCTTCTCGCATGGCCATATCACAATTCAATGTACCAAGCCACAATGATGATTATCGGCCATTTTCTTTTGCCGTTGGCTAACGCTCCGCCACATTATTTGCATATCTGCTCAACACATGTTAACATAGCATCAGAATGTATATAATCTATTAAAATCTCGTTGGATGGTTAACTCTTGTTATCATCCATAAAATCATGTGGTCACTAGTGATACCTTGAGCCAGATGCCTATCTTGCTAGGCGAGGCTATAAGAAGAGGGTGGAGGTTCCACTTGAAGAGGAACCTAGTGATTTTTCCTAATATTATGAAATTATTTCTCTCTTTCCAATTCATTACTTCCTTAACTCTCTTCCTCTTGCATCCTCTCCTTTCCTCTCTACATTTTATTAGGTTATTTTTAGAAAGTCACTCAATTGTCTTTGACAAGAAATTATCTTGGTTTCTATTAGTTCTATGTAGTTATAATTTGTCTCGATCAATCGGGTTGTACTATTGACTCAAACCTCAATTCTATCAGTTGAGCTTGATGAATAGCTAGTTGGGATAGGGAGACAACCCACCCCCTACTCAAGGGCTTCAGGGGCAAAAGGCCTCAAAATTTTTTTTCTAGCTATAAAGTTATATAACATCACGACGCTGTAGTCACTGATTAGAGAAAGATAGTAACGTGTTGCGGCGCTACAAGAGAGAGAGAGAAAGTGGAGCGCCGTAGTGCTCAAGACCTCAACTTTGCACTCACAATTGAGTCATGGAATATATATATATATATATATTCAATTTTTTTGACCTTAGCTTCATGAAACACTAAGCTACTATTGAAGAATGGAATAATTTAAATATTATATAATTATGTACAAATGATATGAACTGGCAAAAAAAGAATTATTGAATAGCTCGCACACCACAAAAAATGATTAAATGAGTATTCCTTAAAAAAATATAAACAACAATAGTATAAAGTTGATATGCTGAGACATCCAATTTTTCTTAAACTCAAATATCAACATGTTCAATGCAAAGAGCATAAAAGTTCATATTTAGTATGAGATGAGAACAAATACAGTAGGACCCCTTCAAGTAATCTACCTCAAGTAATCTATCAATAAGAAAAAAGCAAGAAAGCAGACACGTCTTTTTTTTTTTAGGATTTCTTTTTGTTTTTCAACGGACATGCGTATCGGATACGCGTGTCCTTTTGAAATTAAATAATATTTTAATTGGATACGGCTTTGGCATATCCGACACGTATCGGTGGAGTATCGGAGGCGTATCCGTGTATCGGTGTATCGGATATAGCACGCCTTCATAAATAGGTGTATCGGTGCAACATAGGAAAAAAGCAAGAAAGCAAGAGGATTAAATGGGTTATAAATATTTTTTCCATATATGTACTAATTATCATATCGAGCTTTGGACATGTTCAATTACTTATAAAGAAAGCCTTTATTGTTATACAAAAGGGCCATTGGGCCAACATGCCCCTAAAGAAAAATCAAAGCCCTAAAATTAGTACCCAGGAAACACATGATATGTTGCGCATAAATCTAAAAGCTGTCAAATAAGATTAGGAAAATTCTCTACCGAGCAAAAACCAAAGAAGGGGACCATCGTCAACTAAACTTCAAGAGCAGATTACCAGTGTTATTCTCCACAGTTCACAACCAAAAGAAGGGGCACAAATCGTCCCCTGAACCAAACGAACAAAAGCTAAGCTTGGCAGCTCACAAACACAAAAGGGTACTATTTGAACCCCTAATATCATCAGAGCTGATTCCATAAGCTAATCTCCATAGCTTATAACCGAAGTAAGGGAAGTAATTGCCCCCTCCCCAACAATCAGAACGGGAAGACGCTTGAACCCAGGCACAACATCAATGGAAATTTGAAGTCAAAGAAACTAAGTAGAAAATAAATTAAGTAAAATAACAACCACGGAGTACAATCAATACATAAAGCTAATAAATCTGAAGATCATAATAAAAAAGAGCTCAGACCTGGATCGGAAGAGCATCCATATCGGCCCTAAGCGCCACAATCGGAGGCTCACCGGTTCCAATGGTAGCTACTATACCAGTCATCGCCAAAGGAAAACGATATTCCACTCCCATGGCATCAAGCTCCTCCATGATCAATCTCCCCGTCTCCACCTCCTCGTAAGCCAGCTCCGGGTGCTCGTGAATCCTTCGCCGCAACTCCTTCACCCACTCCACCGCCTCCGGCCTCCTCGCCAGCCGCAGTATCTCCTCCTTCCACTCATCATCCCCGCCCGTCGGCGGCGAGCTCCTACTCAAGTTCAACCGCGGCGGCAACGAGCTTGGGGCGGAAACATCATACTCCTCTCCGAAGAGAAGCTTGTCAACATCCAATCCACCGGCTCCCGTCCTCCACACGAGCAGAAGAAAAGGAAGCACTAAAACCAAAACACTAGCCAGCTCGCGCGCCATGGGATCCGGGGCAACAGCGGCCGACAGACGGAACCAGAAGAAAAAGAAGAACGAAGAAAAGGAAAAGAATATCAACACAGCTACCCAATGAAGGCATCAGAGATCTAATTTATCCAGGCGCTTACTATCGGCGGCGGCGGGGCCCCGGTGGGAGAGCGACAGCGGCCCGGTAGGATTGAGGACAGCTCACGGATGTCTAGGCCGCGGCATTTAACTCGTGGGGTTATTGGCTGCGCGGGCTCCACCACTCGCCGTTCGGCAGATGTCGACGTCCACGAGGCGTAAAACTCTGAATAGGAAGGGGCCCGGCCCACCATATCCAATTTTTTTATAAATTTTTCCAAAATTGCGTAACATTTTTTATTTTTTATTTTTAATTGAGTTATACACCCAAATTATATTTATATTGGCATTTTATATTACAATGAATTTTTATTTTATAATATAATTAAGTTATGACTCTTAATTATAAAGAAAAATACGGCGAATATTGCAAAGATGAGGATGTTTTCATCACATAAGAATATAAGATACTAATTTTCAGTATTTGATATGTCAAAATATTGATTAGATGTTCATAAAAGATAATATTTTGATATATATATATATATGGAATTCATTATAGACCCTTAAAAATTTAATAATATTTATATTTCCTAACAAAAGCATTTTTATCATGGGCTCAAATTACTTGAAAATAATTCTATTTTTATCATGTGCTCAATTACTTGAAAATCACATCAAAGATTTCATAAGAAAATATCAGGAAATATGTGTAGTGATGTATTACTAATAAGTATTGTATCAATATTATAAAATACTCATAAAATCATATAATTTATTTTTAATTTTAAAAAATAAAATATAGAGGATTTGGGTAAATTATTCACATAAAATTTGTCTTTTATGAAATTAATTATACTCAAGCATACCTCCAAATAATATTCTCAAAACACGTGTTTTGATTTGATGAATTTGACATCAAAGATAAGTCTTGTGGTTCAAAGAATCTCATTCGAATATGAAAATTCATGCTTCAGGATGAATTGCGTTTCATTTGAGACGATTTTTTTCCTGTTTCTTAAATGATTTTCTAGTACAAAATTAAAATTTTTGTAGTAAAAAATCGTTTTAAGAAGCAGTAAGAAAGTTGTCCCAAATGAAGCCTTAGCCTTCTAAGTAGAAGGTGAATTAACATAAATGACAAATTAAGGCAATTAAGGTAAACTCGCACACACAACACATACGTAAGAGTTGAAATCAAAACCTCTTGATTGATAGTCAAAGCTCCCAACCAACAGACCATGATGAGCGGCGTAAGCCATGTCACATTACGAATGGGTACAAATTAGAACTTTTTACAAATAAACTCTACTATATAGCTCCTAAAAAAGATACAAAAAGGACAATTGTAATAGAAGATTGGCCCCTAAAACCATCTATTTTAATATTAAGATAATTTTTTATTGGATTGATTATTAATTTATTTAATGTTAATAAAAAAAAAAGATTTTTCTTAAGAGTCTACCATAGTATCCGATTTTTAGGAAAATCACACACATCAATTAAAAAAGACAAAAATAGGTAATCTGCACACATACTACTAAAGAGTAAAATAGAGATAGAATGATAAAAGAATAAATAAGAGGATAATTGGAAATGGGTCTACAAATATAATTATATTAAAATAAATAAATAAAATGGAAGCTGAGCTAGCTTTGCATAAATACAACAAAATCTTATTTCTATTAAAAAATGTCAATTTCATAACTTAGTACATGAAATTCTTAATTAAATTAAAACATCTAGCATACATAAAAGTCGATGCACAAATTAGAAAATTATTTTAAAATTGTAGAGATTTCGCATATATGCCAGGGGTCCAAGGGGGTAGCGCCCCTGTGGAGGTTTCTGGGATCAGCCCCTTGGAACAAATTTTGATTGTAATAATATTTTTGGATTCTCTTTACTATTACTCTTTGTATTTTGTTCATTGTTCTCTAACAATAACACATCTACACAATATGTTTAATTATGCACGGGACAATTACCTAAAAACCTTAGTTTTTTAAAACTTTTAGGGGAAGGGGGTCAATTGCCTAAAAATCTTTATAATAAAGACTAAAAAATTGATGTTGAGAAACAAATTATCTAAAAAATCATATAATAATTTTTTTTTTAGGAGGGGCAATTGCCCCTCTGGACTTTAAGTAGATCTGCCCTGATATCAACTAAGAGATTTTAAGTTGTAATCTTTTATATGTAATATATTTATGAACATGTCGTCATATTGACCTAAATATTTCATATATATGTTTCATACAAAATTTAGTTTTATTTATAAATAGAATGAAAATGTGACAAAATCGTCCTATGGGTCCAAATTTGAACGGTTCCGTGCATGCCATATTGCCATAACGTTGAATATTATTTGCAGGCTAACGTGATAGAATTTTCTTCAACGAATATGACTTTTCTGCTGGCATCTTTTTTGTTGCTATCACTTATACGTCTTTATCAATCACAGCGACGTTGAGTTTAATGGCAGCGTACGGATATACGTGTATTTTTTAAAAATATTGACCGAATTTAATCATAAAATTAAAAGCTAAATTATTATAGCGAGAAAAAAAAATTAAAGTTGACTAAAAATAGTTTAATTAAATTTTAAAATTATTAAATTTATTTTAAGATGAACGTAATACATAAAATAAAGTTAAGAAAATTTGCATATAGACTATATATATGATTTTTATGTATTTATAATTCTTATTAGTTTAAGAATTAGCATCTTGATCGCATTTAAATTAAAAAAATGCCCCTTGAAATTAAAATTTTACGTTAAATAAAACTCTAATATCAATGGTATATTTAGGTAGGGGTGTCAATATTTGACACGACACGAAAACCCGACCCGAAAAATCCGGGTTGGACCCGACCCGATTTCAAAACGGGTCGGGTTCGGGTTGACCCGACGGGTTGCCGGGTCAACCCGCAAACCCTTTCAATTCAAAAAAATTCGATCCACCGTTGCCCGCCCGCACTGCCGCCCGCGCTGCCCCCGCCAGCGCTGCTGCGCCAGTGCCCGCTGCCCGCGCGCCGCCCGCTTTCGCCCACACCCCGCGCGCACCTGCTTCGCCAGCTTCGCCCCCTGGGTTCCGTGTCGGGTCGGGTCGGGTCAACCCGGCAACCCGCCGGGTCGGGTCCGGATTCGGATTTTCGACCCGTTTCTCTACCCGTGTCGGGTTAGGGTCGACCCGTTTTGCACCCAGGTCAGTTCAGGTTCAACCTGAATCCGACCCGTGACCTGAAATTGACACTCCTATCTTTAGGTCTGTGATATTAAGTTGAAAAAGATTGTGATAAAAGTAATTCTTAATTAAATTAAAATACAGGTAGTTTTTAAATGAAGTGAATAATCATTTTATATTATTTTTTTTATTTTCATATTTTTACTCCCACTCCATCAAAGTTTATTGGAGAGATTTACATATATACCATTTTAAAAATCAATATTTATATAACTAACATCTAAAATCTTTTGATTGATTATTTACACATAATACTCTTTAATAGTTCAAAATGACCGCCCTATAACACTCAATATGTCGCTCAACATTAGCACTTAACTCTCAATGTGAACTCTCTCTCTCTCTCTCTCTCTATGTGTGGAAACATAGATCCCTTCGTAGGCGTGAACCTTCTCAACCGCATAGACCTCCCCCACTCTAAACTTCCCCTTTTTGTGACCACCTTAGCTAATAAACTCCCATAAATGGACCAGCCTATACAATGCTAGCAAAGGAGGGTAGAATGCAAAAATTTCTTTGGGGCTTAAAGTTTTTCATTTTCACAACACTTTGATGAAATTTCTTTGAAACATGATGCTCTTGACTTTGGATTTGCTGCTTCCTTTTGGGTCATTTGGTTTCCTGGAAGATGATGATTACGCAAATAGAGCTACGGCTCGTTGGTTTACGAAATAATTTCCTTCCGCTGATCCGCATTCGAATCCCCAACCCGTCTAAAAAAAAAGATGATGATTATATATCTTTTGCATTCACATGTAATTGACAATCAAGAAGATCCTTATCTCATATTGAAGATACTGTTAACGCATATACTACTTGGCTTTATCCTGTACCCAATCTATTTACTTGTACACCCATCCTTGCCTATATTAAGGCAGTTGTATCCTCATTTTAGGTAATACGAAATATTCATTTCTTTCTTTCTATTATGCGCTATGTTCTCTTCCTTCTTCCTGTTCAGTCTTTCATGGTATCAAGAGCCATCTATGGGGGATCAAGAATCATCCTCTTCTCTCCCTCCCACCTCCACCAATCTCTCCGGCACCAACATTGTCGAACCAACCATCCCAGCTCCACTCAAATTTCTTATCTCAAACATCAAAAACCTTCTACCTCACCCTCTTACAACCGATAAATATGCAATTTGGAGGATTCAAATTCTTCAACAATTCACGGCTACCGGCTACATCGAGCATCTCAACGGCACAACCCAGCCACCGCAAGAAACCACATCTCCGGCTTACGGTTCTTGGATGCTCATTGACAGCACGTTGATCTCAGCACTATTTTCAACGATCTCGCCCTCTATACTGTCGTATGTCATTACGGCGTCCACCGCAAAATATGTCTGGACAACGCTCAAACGTCGTCTTCAGCCCGCCATCCGCTCGAGAGTCATCCAACTCAAGAACGAGCTCCACCACATACAAATGAAGAATTCAACAATGCAGCAATATCTCACTCAAGTAAAGACTATAATCGACAACATTGCCGCCTCAGGATCCCAAGTTGATCCAGAGGACATAATCCTCTACATACTCAATGGCTTACCATCGGCTTACAACTCTTTTAAAACGTACATTCGCAACTCATCTCTTCTGGCAGACCTCGACTCTCTTTACTCGCTGCTCTGCAGCGAAGAGATATATATAAACCAAGAACTTCTCAAAGATTCATCTACTGATCACTCGGTACTATACGCTGCCTCCTACAACAAGACGAGAGGCCGGACGCAACATCGCCCATCCAAGAACACCAAGAATCAAATCTACACACAAA